TGTAGAATTAAGAACTTAAAATTTGTATACTATTAGAATATGGATTATTAGCTAAGATTTTTAGTTAATTATTAGCTAATTGGTATAACATAAACAAAAAGTAGTTTAATAAAATTTTGAATGTAAGACACTAAAATCTTGTGTCATGCACAGTAAAGGGTACCTAGGGCAAGAGCGTTAACACACTTTAAACAAATCATTAATGTGTTTTCTTTAGAATTACTTAGCACTATTAGGTAAAATATTTGATTTAGCCAAATTAAAATAGAAACACACCAGAAAATTAACTTAATGTATGAAAGGAAGTAAATATAACTTACTAGTCCATTATCAAATGTAAAAACACCAACATCTCGTCCATGATGAATGTGATTTCTTCTCATGATGGGGTTTGCATGGTTTTTTACCCACACTCCAGCTAGAGCATTTCGGCTGATCTCATTCTCTTCGTAAACTCCCTATTTCATAAAATATTTACAACTTTTGGATATATTTAGAAGTTACTTTACACTAAAACAAATAATTTCCAATTACTTTAATGTAATTTATAACAATCTTATTTGAGAGTTAATCATACTAATCCCTCCAAATATAAAAGGGTTCCCTGTTAGATTTCTAGATTATTCATAGAAAATTTGAGTCTCTTTTAATATTTTAAAATATTCTGTATCAATATTAATACACTAGATAAAAAATACTAAGAAGGAAAGGTATCATTGTCCAAAAATCCAAGAACTCATAATTGGGATAAGAAAAGTTCATCCTGAAATCTTTCTGAATAAACATAAGGCTGATGTTACACCACTTTTATGCTAATATTTCACAACTAATTATTATACTAAGAGTGTAAACAGAAAATGTTTAAGTTGATGTAATATTATGCTCAATCTTTTCACTTCTGGTGCAGTACTAAACATTCTCCAAAAGCATCTGGACACAGAGCAGGAGAAATACTCAAGTGAGTGCATAAAACAATATACACTTTATTCATAGGAACATGGTATGTTTATTATTACACATTATTTTCTACTAAAGAGAATCTCACTAAACATTTGCTCCCTCAAGTTTTCCTAGACATTTTGTCATTAGTATCAAGTTACTTCTATGTGACTCAATAGCCAATAAACTAATAAAATCCAGTACTCTTCACAAACAATCTTAAAAACACAAGCAAAAATGGTAGAATAAATTAAAAGTACAAAAAGAAAGTCACAGCTGGAAATATGAAAATATGGGAATTTGGCCTAAGGAACTGATACACTTAAAATTTGCAGCAGAGACTTGTCATTTCCAGATGGTACAGAGGAGAATCTTTCTCATCTAGTCAACTACAATTGCAAAAACTCTTTGTATTTTAGTAATAATGACAATTATTGAATTTTATTATTAAATATAAATATTAAACATCTTGTTACGAAAAACAGATAGGATAATAGGAAGTCAATACTTTAGTACTGTGCTAATGCAAAGAAACATATTCTGGATATTTTCTTTATTTCCAGGAATCACCTAACAAAACTGAATAAAGTCAAAGTGGGAAAAATTATCCCTTTTAATGACAAGAAAGGTGATAAATTATTGCAATAAAAATACATTCATTTTGCAACACTTACTAGCCTAAAATTGGTAAGTCAGAGTGCGCATGTCACGATTTTTTACAGTTATTCAAAATTTAAACTACTTTATTATCAATATATACAAATAAATTTGTCATCAAAACATACTTAATAAATCAACTTTTAGTATTATACAAGTTTACAGTTATTAATTTTATACCAAAATATTAATACATTCCTCAAGCTCTCCAAGTATGCCAATTGTGACATTTGTTCTCTAGATCTTCCCCCATTCTCTATGTTTTAACACTATTCCCTGAAATATGGAATTTAACCCTCTCCATGAACATCTTTTTCTGAGCATGTAAATTTACATACCACCACCTCCAAGAAGTACAAATTTAATGTATATTACTTATTATAATATCATCATCACTCAAGCAAAGCATAATTTCCATAGTCTTCAATCATATTTGATTACAGATCCATAAACTAGAAAATCAACCCCCTCTTGCCACACCCACCTATCACATCCTCTCTTTGAGAAATTGACAATAGTTATCTTTGCCATAGAAAGCCAAGGTTTTCCTCTATTAAGTGATGTATCATATCACATTGTTTTCGGTAAAGAGAATTATCAATTTTGCTTTCAGTTCAAGTTTGATTCCCATGGGAAACACATCGACTAGCTTAGATGTTGCATAGTTAGAAAGCCTGAAAAATTGTGATAGTTATGGGACATTGTCTGCTTTTTGCATGTTATTATTCTATGTTCTTTGATGCAATATTTAATTAAATAAAAAATTATTTAGTGCAATACAACCATTTGTATAAAAAGATTAGGATTAAGTATTATCAACAGTTGACAGCAAAAAAAAAGAAAGAAAAAGAAGACCCAGGAAAGTACTTTTTTTCATGTGTATTATTTATTTCTTGTTATAAAAGCAAATAAAATGCAAAACATAGGAAATTTTTTAAGTTAGTTAAGGTTAGATTAGGTGAAATAAATAACAATACTATATTAAAAATATTTCATGAGGTATGCTCGCGAATAGCTCGTGTGTAATGTAATTTGACATCTTACCATGAGCTGCACATTTGCCAAGTGATTTACAATTTATAATGGTGCAAATAATAATTAGTAGGGGTTCATAGGTCAATAAAACAATAAAATTTAAGTATAAATAGATGTAGTTTCATATTACAATTTGGCATAATGTGTGTAATGCAATTTGACATCTTAACATGAACTGCACATTTGCCAAGTGATTTACAATTTATAATGGTGCAAATAATAATTAGTCAGGGTTCAGGGGGCAATAAAACAATAAAATTTAAGTATAAATAGATGTAGTTTCATATTACAATTTGGCATAATTGTCAAAAGAAAAAATGGTAATTTAGATTTATTAGTTTTTTTTTGAGGGGGGTACAAGGTCAGTCAAATTTACCAACTTTATATAAAGTTAGGGTAGAGAAAATAACAGATAATGTATAAAGTTTTTACTGAAAAAAGTTTGAAATTTATTTAGAAGGTTTTAGAAATCATACAAATAAAATTTGAGATTTTTGAGACAAAGAAAAGTATTTTTAATCTTCAAGTGGAAATCACCTAGCACTGGGACTAGTACATAGAAATACTATATACACACACACACACATACACATATATATTTCATTAAAAAAAATCTTATTTTTTGTGTACAAAAGACTTGTAATGTTCACTAAAAGTCTGCCAAATTTTGTGAAGGTATACATAATGTATTAAAAGTTATAGTATCAAATATGAAAACTATAATAAGCACAAAACGGTTACAAAGTCAGTCCCCCTGGGACCAAGCCCATAGTGAGAGAGTTAAAGTAAATTACTCAATATAAATATACAGTCAAAGTTCATAGCCTTCAATGTTGTTTGTTTACCGCAAGTGTTCCTTCTACATAGCTCAAATCTACATCTATTGATATTTATTATTTTTTTGTTTTATTGACCTTTGAACCATATCTATCCAATAATCCCATCACACAAGTTGCAACTCACATGACCATACTGAATAGCATAAACTGGCCTTTAAAAAGTACAAATATCTTACTACAAATAGTGTACCAGTATTTTGTAAAATACAGTGACATTTTGGTTACATTACATATGTATATATTAATTACAATTTACAATTAATTCTTATATTTCAGTTATTTTTCTTATGACATAGAACAGTAGATAAAAAAAAAAGAAAACAATGATCTCTACTACTTACGACGTTATGAAGTTTTGTACATGTGTCATACTTGCTAAGCCTCATCGAATTTTGCACATGGATAATGTAAAAAAAAATAATTTTTGAAGATTTTATATATGCATTTTGAAATAACAAAAAATTTTAAATTATTATATCGAGAACAAAAAATTCCACTGTAATTTATCAAGCTTCCTAACTAAGCTGCATTTAGGTCTAAAAAAACCTCATTTCTGATTGCTTATCCCCTTGAACACCACTCTTCAATGTTTATAATGGCTTTATTTGTGCAGATACTTTAGGAAGACTAGCAGGAATACAATTGATTATGAACATGTACTTAGCCCTATGTCCTCCGGCACCATTTTTAAATTCCTTTCTGCATATGTACTGCATTACATTCAAGAGTTATTTAAACCACTTTACTATCAATTATATGAATATGAAATTAACATTATATTGTATGTCATAATTTGAATTTTTATTTTATATAAGTTTTAATTACTTTGTTTCAAAGGAAACTTTCACAAAATACTTAAACAGCAGTTTTCGTGTCAAATCATTCACATGTTTTGAAAAATCTTGATTTTAGCACTGTTTCTCTCTGATACACACATGCTGGTATGTACAGGCAGTTTACTCACACTAATTACATATAATTGATATAACTGTCATGTGAGAGCTAAAGTCTGCAAGTTGGGTTGTCTGGGAAAGAGATATAAATTTTTTACAACCCTTGATGGTTACAATGCCCACATTCTATACTTTGCCTTGAGATCTTCAACGTACATGTAATTAGTTGACAAAAGTGTGTATAGTCATTATAAAGAGCTGTTTATACTCTACCAATGGTTAATTTGAAATTGGTGCACAGTTTTCCTTACAGTGTACATGCAGCTGCCACTCATACTGTTGTCTACTTGATGGACTATAGCATATTTGGTGGTTTCTTACCTAAATATGCTATCGTTAGAGAGACAGTTAAATTGCATTTAGGTCTTACTTTTATATTTTAGTTAATTACATATTATCTTTGTTTTAAGTCATATCTGAACAATTTAATAATTTTTATAAGTTTAACTTGTTGCCTGGATTTTGAAAGGTTATAAACAAGATGGCATGTATAAATGCCATCTTGTTTTGTCAACTCCTCTCTGCAGGAAGTCTGCTGAAATACCTTTGTAAAGCCCCACAGGCATCAGTTAACATATTGAGCATAAATGATAATAGACAAAAATTTTAAAGGAAAATTAAAAATAAAATATAAGAGAAAAGATAGACTTGAAATTATGCAAAATGAAGAAAAATATGACTATTCTAGTAAATTTCTATACAGAGTTGAAAGGTATGTACATATTTCCATTTGTTCATTTTAAACATTTCAATGCACTGTATGTTGATGATAAGAGATATAGTTAGTGATATAGTAGAGAAGATGGAAATTAAAATATAAATATTTAGCTTAAAAAAAACCTTTGATATTAATTTATGAGATTCTAGAGATTAAACAAATGAAATGTGAAAACTCTGAGATAATAAATAGTATTTTTATATTGAAAATGAAAATCAGCTTGCAGTTGAACTATTCAAAATCTGAGTGCAAATAACTACATTAAATAATGAATTTTTTTATTAAAAATAATAGAAAAAAATCAAAATTAAATTTATTTTTCTGAAACTACATATTTTTAGGAATGTTCTTGTTAAATTTTAAATAATTTCATCCCTAGTTTTATTTTTGGAATGAAATATGAGGAAGGCAACATATAATTCTATGAATAGTAGCACATGGTTGCCATAGAGTTAAAAGAAGAGGGCATAAGTAAAGAAGTATTTTCAAAAGAGGAAGAAGTGGGCAGAGCCATTGTTGTGAGTTCAATAAATATAATGATATCTTAGCAAATAGATAAGGTAGGAGGTTCTTATTTTATATTCTAGTTTGTCAATATTGGTAATTTGAGTTTCTAATTCCTTAAAAACTGTATACTTTACATCTTATGATGCCCAGAATACAAAATGAGCAAATGCAGAAGACGATGTACCATGTGACACACCAAAAATTGATATTTATCAATTTTTTTTTAATATTTACTTGTGAACTAAGAAATTAAATGATGTATAATACTAACATCTGGATTACAAAATACAATTTGATTCTAAATTTATGGATATAAATTCATAAAATAGTAGTTTAATACAATTTTGAATGTAAGTCTACAAAACGTGATGAGATGCATGATGATCCCTACCCACATGGAAAGGGTTAATACTTTAATATTGTTTATAACCAATAGAATGGCAAAGTTTGAATCTGTCAAATGACAAATAATGCTATGTTGTTTTAATACAGAGTACTGTTAACTTCATTTTCAGTTTGAAATTTTATTCAAATCAAATAGCAAAGGGTATTAAATTAAGCCACACTTGTCCTAGTTAGAAAGCCAGTTATAACAGCTATAGAGCATTGTTTGCTTTTTGCATGTTATTGTTCTTTGTCCTTAGGTGCATTATATAGTGTACTAGTACCATCATTATAAAAACAAATGTCAATGGAAACTGACTGCAAAAATAACAAGGTTAAAAGTAAGTGCTATATTTCTTGTTTTTCATGTATATTCTTTACTTATGGTAATAAATGTAACTAAAATGCAAAAATTAGAAACCTATTAGTTTAAATACAGTAAGATAATAATAAAAATTCTTATGCTCGTGCATTACATCATTCAATATGGTAACATGAGTTCCTCATTTGTTGAGTGATTTACAACACATTTGTTGGGTGATGTGGCATGATTATTAGTTTAGTATGAATGGATATAGACTGTTATGAGCTTTAAGCAATTTAGGATAAACAACGGTACTTTCCTCTTACAATCTGCTGTCATTTTAGAAAGAAAAAAGGTTAATATAGATTTATTTCAAATTGTTTTATGGTGGTTACAAGGTTGGTTAAATCGACTGAGTCTGTATAGAGCTAAGGTAGAAAAATAACAGATAAAATATAAATTTTTACTGAAAATTTTGAAGGTTGCACAAATGAAATTTTAAAATTGAGAAAAGTATTTTTAATCTTAACATGAAAATCACTTTGCACTCAGAACAGTCAACACTTTAATTTCCTACATTCACAGACAAATCTTTAGTAAAAATACTTAATTAGAAAATCTGATTTTTCATGTAATAAAGACTTGTAATGTTTACTAAAAGCATGCAAAATTTCATGGCAATAAAACATTAAACGTTACAGTATGGAAACATTGATCGTTACATTGTGGTCATAAGGTCAGTCACACTGCCCAAACTCATATGGCAAGAGTTAAGAAATGACGGGAACTTTAAGAAACATTCACTTCTTGCTGATATACTAACCTGAGCATAGTCGGTAATATAAAGGCCAACATTTTCACAATCACTGATATCACAATGCTTGATAACTGGTTCTGCTCCACAACCACTAACACATATTGCTGCACCTACTGCCAACAAATGAGAGAGTATGAAAAGTGCAAATCTATTTTAATTAAATTAAAATTTTATACATAAAACAAATTTATTGAATTGTAATAACTCTTGCTACTTACTTTATCTGGAATTATAAATGAAGACTAAAATTAAGAGATTATTACAAATAATCAATAGCATTTATGCAAAGCTTTAATATCATTTTTTTGACAAATTTCATTACCAGTGAAACTAAGTATATCCAGTTATTAACTATAAAACTAAAAACACATTTCAGATGTACACAAATAGGTCACCTACATCAGCGGTTCCCAACCATTGGTCTGTGAACCAGTGCCTGTCCATAGGGATATTTCAGCTGGTCCGCAAGACAGTTGAAAAAGAGAATGTGTGTTTGAAAATACAACTACTGAAGAATATTCTTTTGCAGTGTAATATAAAAGTACTTTAAAAAGTTAATACTGTATAAAGCTGTCCATGAAATTCTGGAAGTGGAACTAACTGGTCCTCAGCTGGAAAAAGGTTGGGAACCACTGACCTAAAAAATTTTATTTAACATTGACTTTTTTGTATACTGCAATATTGCTGTGGAATTATAAATTTTATTGCCAAAAAATAACATCACAATTACATGAAAGAAAATGTTAAACTGAAAACTGATTAGAGTTTGGTTTATGGTAAGATGCTTAACTTTCTAAAACACGTTACACATGATATTTTAACAAATCTCTCACATGGTACTTTAATGATAAATGTATGTAAATATCACAAGGAATTGCATTATTTTAATGGACTTCTGTTTCACAGACTTGCTTTCAAGAGTCTCAGAAATAAATATTAATATATAAACTATTACAGTAATATACAAGTTCAAGAGAAACTATTTCAATGGGTAAAACCTTACTTAACCCTGAAGTCTAGAGATAGAAGACAAAATCAGGTTTATTTGTATTATTCTAATGTTAAGATACATTCATATTTTTGTTGTTGTTATCCACAGGTAAATGTAACAAACACAGAACTTAAAATATTTTCCCCTTCATAGCTCTTGAGTTCTGAGATTTATATATAAACAAATTAATTCAAAGATACAAGATGCATAAACAATTCACTCTTCACAGCTCAGAAATGCAAGAAGTGAATAATTTAGTCGTATTAGTTAAAGAACAGAGAACAGGTACACAGTTTACTCTTTATAGCTTAGAGATATAGGACAGATAAACAATTTATATTTTATGTGTCAAGAACACTGGAAATTAAAACATTCTCCCTCCCAAACATAATCAATATGTATACAATCCACTTGATACAGAAACTCACAAACACAGAACATTCACAGTATTTCATACTTCATTGCTCTCCTACACACACACACACAAGACATAAAACATTCATGAAGATTACCATTTCATTCTCAGAAACACTAGCCACATACAGGGTGATTCAAAAATCGATTGTTATGAAAATAATTCAGAAATGGAAATGTGGAAGAGATTAATTGCAAATGGTACAGAATGAGGTATTGTTACTCTACCTCATGATAATATCATATATGTCATTCAAGGTCATGACCTTAGAAGTTTTATAAATATCCAACATGTATCCAAATATCAATGATTAACCCTTTCATGATGGGTGGGTCTAACTGTGCATGTAATGGTTTGTTAGCAATTTATTTTAAAAACTTTATTAAGTAACTTTACTATATATCAATAAAATTGGCACCAAAACGTTGATTGTATTTCAAATTCTAATATTATGTATGTTTTAATTTCTTAATTCAAAAGAAAATATGAATAAAATAAAGCGAAATATCGATTTTTGTGTTCTCAGTTTATATACTATATACATCTACAAGTGGTTAACAAATTAGAAACATGAATTTAGAACCTCTCACCACTTTGATTTGCTTAGAAATCAATGTATCTAGCAAATCAACTACAGAGGCATCTCTTCCTACTCCATTCTTACCAAACCTCTTGTTTATTTCCACCTACTTTTCTTAAGGGTCTGTTTATAACCAATCGAAAGGACAAGTTGTGCTTTAAGTGATTCTGACAGTTGTTTGTAAAGATCTTGGAAGAGAATATAATAATTTTGCCAAGACTGTTCAATGGTGATGACCAAATTATTGCTCCGATCTGAGAAAAAAAATTTTTAAACACATGCAAGTTACAGATGTTTCGGGTGTACTAGTAGAGTAATGTATTTTTTCTTTCTAAAATATATACCTGAAGCCTACAAAAATTATATTTCTTCACCCTCCACTTGAAAAAATAAACGAGGCTTAGCACTAAAGGCACACAAGGGCAAAATATTTCCCTATCACCGTAATTTCTTGTAAGTAATAGAAATTATTGTTTTGCTATGTTTTTTTCATTTATTGTTTATGTTTTAACAAAATAACTAAAATTTAAGCATTTATGAGTAAATATATATGTATATATGTAACGTATGGTAGCAAAAATATCGGTGTAGTTTGGAAAATATTGGTAATACAGTTATATTTGTACTTTGTATTTGACTGTACCTTGATTCTTTATATATATATATATATATATTATAAAATTATTATTACCTTATTTCAAGGAAAGAGCCAGTATCAACTCAAGGTGTTTTAGAAGTGTAAGGGAACTTCTAAACTACACTTTAGCTGCAAATGTAAGAATGTTTTCCAAAGAAGACTAGACTTATAAGGCTTGCAAAACTAAATGAATGTGATAAGTTGTACGAAAACTAGAGTTTTCATTGGTTGAATGAAAGGGAAATAGGATTTTATAAGCGTGTGCTCAAATAACATATTTGTACACATATGCCGCTAAATTCCAAACACCCCAAAAAGATTACCAATATTCAAAGAATTGCAATGTTTATTGTATCAGCACAAAGCCACATAATAAATGTTTTTACAGGTTCAAAAGTGCAGTGTTGTTACACTCAATAAGTCTTGTTGTGAATATTGTAGGATACATAAATAAGCCAATAAATTACTCATCCTGTTGTTGGCATAAACATTTTCAATGATTCTAAATGCAGTGTGATTACTCTGAATTTTCAAAGAAAACATTTCAACATATATAATCCAATACATTAGACATTCTGTTCTTGGAGCGGGGGTCGAGTCGATTATCTTTTCACATGTGCTTAGTTGCTTTCAGGATTACCATTATTACTGGTGTCACATAAACTGTCTACTTAAGACAAGCAGCAATTTATTGGTTTATTTTCAGTGGGGTTATACTTCAGTCGTTGACAGTAAAATAAACACAGAAAATAAATGTGAAATTTTTTGCAGTTCAAACTTGTAAGAGAAGTACTTTGAAACTTTGTGACCAATAATAATGAAAAAAACCACAGCTGCTCCTTTTATTTATAATTTTACAACTTGTCTTTTCTTTATACTTTCAAGATTTGTTTACAAGCTGAAGACTCAAGTGTATAATTAAATAACTGATAAGATATAGTTTTACTGAAAACAAATATCTGAAATGTATTTAGGAGGTTTTAAAGATTATTCAAAAGAAATTTGACATTTTGGGGATGAAGAATAGTATTTTTAATCATAACATGAAAACCACTTCCACTTGAACTAGTAATGAAACAGACTATATATTCACAAATAAATCTTTTGTAAAAATACTTCATTAAATATTTGATTTTTTTGTACAAAAGACTTGTAATGTTTACTAAAGGTATACCAAATTTTGTGAAGATGCACATACTGAATTAAAAGTTATAGTATAAATATTTAATGTGTGCAAACATCTATACAAATTCGAGTATATTATACCTAGCCCATTGCGAAAGGGTTAAGGTGTAGATAGATAACAAATAAGACATTTTAAACCAAAAATTACCAAAAACATTCTTCAAGAAAAACAGTTTTAGGCATAAATGTACCCTTTCTATGAATGTGGAATTGTGCCATAGAAATATAAAATTTGATCATGGCAAAATTATTACACAAACCTTGTTTCGAAGTAAAAGGTCAGAGTATTTAATAAGCAGATCATTACATCTTTGATGGGTCCAAAAAGCTATAAAGTATTAATGTAAAAGCTTCCTAAATATAGTAGCACAGAAGCACCATACTGCAGCAGCTCTTAAGTCATTTAAATAATGGTACAGTATTCAGATAAAACATTTGACATGGTCATATTGTATGAGAATATCACCAGACTGTGTAGAATGCTGGTTCCAAGATTAACATCATACTTCGCATCATAAGATAGGAAAAGCATCTCGGTGGCTACATACTACAGGCTCACTTACACAGACACTGTGCAAGCAGAACAAGAACAACTAATGTTGACAATCAAGCCAGTATATTGGCATATGTCATATTTGGGCAACACTTTGAACACAGCTTAGGCCTGTTTGACATGTTTTCATGACATTGTTAGGATGTTTATTTCATCTGCATTTATGCCTATAATTGCTATGGATCAACAGTGGTAACTTTTAGCTTAAAATATTTCATTTGTTATTGTTTACATCTTTGCAATTGACATTTTTGATGGATAATACATATTAACCCTCTCTCCATGGGCATATTTTTCTGTTCATGTCACAAGGTTTTATTGAGTTACATTCAAAATTTAATTAAACTACTTTCTTTTCATGGTATACCAATAAATATAGCATATAAATGTAGCTAATAATCCATATGTTAATGGTATATAACTTTTAATTCTTACTTTTATAAGGCAGTACTAATAAAAAATCTAGAATTTTCCATAGTTTGAGAATTGTGACATTTGCTCTTTAGGCATCCCCTCTTCTCTAATATATTTACTACCCATCCAAGAAGTGCAAAATTTAATGTCAGTTACATATTATAATATTGTCATCGCTCAGGCAAAGCATAATTTTCATAGCCTTCAGTCTTATTTAGTTACAGAGCCATGAAATGGACAACCAGATCCTCTTGCCATGCCCACCTGTCACATCCTCTCTTTCAGAAATTGATAATAGTTCTCTCTGATGCTTAATACTATATTATTGTTTCTGATGTGTATTCTTCATTTATCATTATAATTCACTGAAATGTAAAAATAATGATTTTTTATGTCAGTTAAGGTTAGATTAGGTGAAATAAATAATATAATAAAAATGTTTCATGAGGTATGCTTGCGAACAGCTCATGCATAATATAATTTGATAGTGTAATGTAAGCTGCACTTTTGTCAAGTGATTTACAACTTATAATGGCATGAATAGTTATTAGACAGGGTTAAATGGGTAGTAAAACATGAAAATGTATTGTATAAAGATATATATATATATATATATATATACTGTTATGAGCTTAAAGCTATACAGGATAAGCACATGTAGTCTCATATTACAAGTTGAAGTTATTCTAGAAAGAAGAAAAAAGTTAAACTTATTTCAATTTTTACTTGGTGGTTACAATGTCATTCAAATTGACCAACCTTGTATAAAGTTAAGGTAGATAAAATAACATATAATATATAAGATTTTACTTAAAACTTAAACCTTATTGTGGAAATCACTTGGCACTCTGACTATATATATATAGAAATACTATATATATTCACAGGCAAATCTTTAGTAAAAATACTTCATTAAAAAATCTGATTTTTTGTGTACAAAAGACTTGCAATGTTTACTAAACGTTTGCCCAATTTTGTGAAAGTACACATTCTGTATTAAACATTACAGTATGAAAACTATACCAAGCACAAAATGGTTATGAGGTCAGTCAATTCGGCTTACCTTGTAGTGAGATAGTTAATAACTGTTTTGAGGGACATGACTTTGAATCACCTCAAATAAATTATCACACAGTAGGCCCACAATACCTCATTCTATACTCTGAGCAGTTATATTCCTATACCTCTGCCAATGGATTTCTGAATAACCTGGTATACAATTCCCTATTCACAGCTAAGGAACACAGGACATGTACACAATTCATGATTTATAGCTGATAGAAAAATGATATCCATATAAATCATCTTTCATCACTCACAGACTAATGACATATACAATTTTATCTTTTAAAAGCTGAAGATTATAGAACACAGATGATATTTCATAGATATAAGACATGTAAACAACTTACACTTTTAAAACACTGTTACAAAAAAATGAAGCCAAGTCATCTTCATAGCTAAAGCACACAGAACACCTAACAATTTACTCTTCACAGGAACGTGTAAACAGCTCACTCAAGATATGTGCAAACCACGTGGCATTACTTTTGTAACACAGGAAATGTAAACAATTTAGACAACCAGAACACAAAAAAAAGTAAAATTCCTATACATTTTAAACTTTGCAGCACATGAATATAGATGCTAGCAATTCAGGTAATCGTAACATATTTGTATTAGTTGTTAATGATAAAAATGTACAATTTATTTCTTGCTACTTACAGAGGGATACTTACCTACTGATGTGCTACGAATGATACAATGGTCAATAGTAGGCGAGCTGTTTTCTGTGATATGTAGACAATAATGTTTGTGATGTTGCACTGAGGATTTCATATCAGGTTTCAGCTGTAAAATAACATAGCAATTAATCCACACAGCCAAATACAGCATTAAAATGAAAATGGGATTGTAAATTTAATTAAATTCTTCTCTTAAATAACTTACCCTAAGTGTAAGAAAGCCTAAGAAAGCTTCTCTGGCACCTTTGGTGAACATGACAGTGGACTCACACTCTCTTTCTAATATAACATTTTCTGCAACATTGCCTGGAGCTGAAATTGAAGAATATTTCAAAGAGAGACATACTTTAACCTTTTAAATAGAAAAATAAATACATGTTGATAGCTAATGTACATATGTGAAGGTACAAATGACGTAACTATTTTCAACCTAAAAAACAGAGGTGTTGACATGATTAATTGACACAAATACTGGGCAAATCACTAATCAACTGTGTCACCTAAATTTCCGAAATGTAGAATATATGTACATTTAAGTCTGTACATGACCAATTCTGAAAGTGGTTGTGAATTTATGCAATTTTCACCTGGTTGTTCTTTTGAAAGCACACAATATTACTTTTTTCTTTTTGGTACTTATTTTGACAAACCCATTTCATTTATGCTGAAAAAAACTGCTCTACTGTTATTACAATGCAGCAAAATTCAAACTCTATAACCTGATCATTTATACATGTTGGAAATTTACAAATAAAACTTCCTAATTCATTTGCTCCCAAAATGCAGGGCATAACTCAGAGGTTCAGGTTACATAACAAATATATCCAAAGCATAAAATAGTTGGTCATATTTTGCATTACAAATAAAGATACCAAATAATTAAGAAACAAGTCAAAATATGATTTTCTATGAAACTATACAAGTTATGAAAAAAATCACATACAGTAAATCTATATGACTCAATATCAGATACTTTTTTAAAACTGAATCAACAACTGAACAAATAACTGTATCAATAACTTGTCTGCCACCTACAGAGAGCCATCTTGAATTCATAGGACTAACAAGCACCTGGATGTTCAACCAGTGCTCAAAAGTATTACTTAAAGTGAACTTTACAAACTTTTTTGCATAGTGGTGTGATTTTAGTAATGATTGGTTTACTATTAGACAACTTAACATTTTTTTTAGTGCTTGGCAATTCACACATTTGAATAAAGAAATGTAAGTTTTGTAAAATACTAGCACCAATACTTATTATATACATTTAAAAGGAATTAGCTGTCACAGCAATCTTGACAGTGGAAGTGAATTACATGACTACCTTTAGAAAAACACAAAACTGACAGACTGGACTTACAGGTATAACTGTTTGATATGTGTTAGCAGCTGGTCATAAATATTCTTCTCATCTTAAACTTCAAAAGTTACAGTACTTCTAAATATAGTTGTCATTAATGGTGCATGGATTAAAAGTCAAACCTTTGTTAGGAATATATCTTGTAATGTATGACTGTAGAACAAAGTAGAATAAGATAAAAAAAAATTATAACTGATAAAATTTTTTCAATCAAAGATTTTTTTTCATAACAGATCACAATTAACCATAGTATCTGCTTATTTTCCATCTGCTTGAGTTTTTATTTAGATTAATCATAATTTAAAGCAATCACACTATGAAACATGCAACACTTGTGCTCAGTGAGAATACATATATTTTTATAGCAAGTATTTTTCCTAGTTGATGGGAACTTTTAATGATCAAAATTTATATTCTGTTCTTTCCATTTTCACAATTGAAGATGTAATAGTAGCGTGATCATATTCTTGTTAAGAGCTAGTTTTCTAAGCTTAATAGCAAGAGATTCTAGCATTTGAAAGTGGAACATGGGGTAAACTCAACATTACATTTCTTTAAACAGTTATAAGTAATACAATTGATGTTATAGGATTTAGCATTACAGTGTTCATTAATTTGATTTTAGAATTTTCTAGTGGTTGATCCAATATATCCCCGGTTGTACCTTAGCTATATGAACTTATATACTACTAGTGAAGTATTAGTATTAAATGAATGTTGTTTGTCTTTAAGCTTGAAGAACCCTTTTAACCTAGACTCTAATCTTAAACATACATTTTAACTGAACTTGTGAATATAGCTGTTTGATAATTTTCTTAGTTTCCTTCTTAATCTTGTATGAAATAGTACCTGAGTTGGATCTGACTAAAATAACAGTTTTTTGTGGAATATCTAATGTAATAATAGATGGGGTATTTAGGTTTCCAGGTCTGGTGTGGATTACTTTATTTAAAAACAACAACAAAAAATAATTTTTCTGAGCTTTTGTTTAATTTCCTTAACATCTGCTTCAAAAACGTTTTGATTTCCTGATATTTTAACCCTCTTGCTATAGGTAGCATAAAGTGTACATGCCATGAGCTTTTACAGTAACATTCAAAATTTGATTAAACTACAGTGTGGTCTAAAATTATCTTTTCTATTTTAAAATTTAATAATTAAATAACTAATTAAATATAACCATGCAGTTTTCAACAACTTGTAACCCAACTCAAACAATTTTTATTATCATGTTTGTTTTCACTCCAGTGAGTAGTGTTACCAATAAAATGGCAGCTGTGCAAGAAAAGGCTCAATGCAATTGACTGGTCGGGGTTAGCCAATTCCGTGGCCTCCGCATTTGCCAGACATCACTCCAAGAGATTTCTTTCTTTGGGGATCTGTTCAAGACATCATGTATCACACATCTATAGCAAACAACATGAAGCTAAAGACTGGGATAACAGATGCCATCACCACTGTTAAAAAAAATAGTGCACACGTAGAAGTCTATTCACATGTTAATAAAAACTGTTTGAGTTGGGCAACAAGAAGTTGATAACTACATGGTTGTATTTCCTTTGAAATAGGAAAGATAATTTTGGGCCACCCTGTACTTTATTATTAATTAGCAGAAAAGCTGCCCTTTGGGTAGCTATTTGTGCTACTAATTACTAATCATGGTATTCATACCTCATTGAAAAAATTTTAGAAAAAGTGAACATTTTCTAAAAAAATATATATTATTTTCTGGGAAGTACTGCACGGGAAAAGTGTTTGGATTTATTCATAAATCAAAATCAATTCAATGTACAGAGCTCAAATTTTTCATAAATTTTACTGATATAAACTGTAATATTTTTATATATTTTAGAAGTGATACCATTTATTGAAAAAAAAAAGTTTTTTAAGAACTCCAGTTTTTCAATACTATATTTACAAATTACATCAATAAAGATATAATCAAACCCTCATGTACAGTCCTAGTGAAAGTTGTGTTCTTGTTGTGAGGAGAGTATTTTATTTAAAACTGTGTTCTATTATAAAGAAATGGTTGTTTCACATGCCATAGTTATTTTTTCTAATTGCCTGAATCTTGAATATCCAAAGTGTGAAATTTTTTTTATAGGTTTTTGTCTGTGGTGCCATTCAATAGATGCTGCAGGAGCTTTGGTTATAAACATAGATACTGACATATCCGCTAGGTCCAATATAGTAAGAAAATGTATAAGAATAAACTTGGCATCAAAACATAGTTAATAAATAAATTTATTATATTACATAAGTTTTAATTTCTTAATTTTATAAGAAAATATTTGAATAAGTCCTCAGTCTCCCCTTGTATGATGATCCTAACATTTGTTCTTTAGGCCTCCCCCTCTCTTTTATTCATTACTCATCTGTGAAGTATGAAGTCTAACATAAATTACTCTTTATTATATAGATGTTATTAAGGAAAAATCTAATTTTTATGGTCTTCAATCTTCTTTGTTTATGGAGTTGTAAACTAGACAATCAGGCCCACTTGTTATTCCCACCTGTCACATCCTCTCTTTCACAAATTGCCAATACTTTTTTTTGACATTTTATATCATTTATAACAAATAGAATTGTTTGTTTTGTTCTTAAGCACAAAGCTATACAACAAACTATCTGTGCTGAGTCAATCACGAGTATTGAAACAGAATGGGACAACCAACTGAAGGGAAAGTTTTAATCTATTGAACAATGTACAATGCTATTCGTCTTCACTTTGAAAGCTCATCTTGCGGTGTTCAGATTGAGTAGCTAAGGGAATTATTTTAAATCCCTCTTATTTTAGTTAAAAGCTAATTAAATTACAATAGTTTTAGGATATTCTTTGCTTCATGCAGTGCCAGATTTAGGCTTGGTGAAGTTTGATATTTAGGAGGTTTTGGAAGTTGCAAAAGTATTTTTATAATCTTAACATGAAAATCACTGCACTATGCGTAGTCAATGCTGACTCCATGTATTCACAGACAAATCTTTAGTAAACATACTTAACTAAAAAATCTGATCTTTTTCATGTACATAAGACTTAATATTTACTGAAAGTTTACCATATTTTGTGAAGATACATTTACCATATTAAAAGTTATGTTATGGAAACTGATGGTTACTTTTTGGATTCAGGGTCAGTCACATCGACCTACCCAGTTTCTTTAAATACAGAAGGAATGAAACTTTTGAATTGTGAGTAAAGTTCATTGAAATTGGGTTTATTATACATGCTAGTGGTAAGTATGGCCTGCTTATTTAAGACATGAATATTTAAGAATGAAAGTTTGTCATTCTGTTGATTTTCAACAATAAACTTTATATTGGGATGTTTACCATTTAAAAACTGGACAGATTCTTTAACCGACTCAACTTTGTTCAACATCACAACAGTGTCAACATACCTCTTGTAATACAAAGGTTTAAAATATTCAGGGCTGCAATTTTAAATAAAGTGGATTACATCAACAAAATGCAAGCTATTATATGAAATATGATTAACTTTATCAAAATTTGGAGTAATCCCACAGCAACCAAGTAGGCCAAACTTATGAGATACATTTTGAAGTTAAAAAAAAAAGCATCATAACTGAAGATACAAACCTAATATCAGACAAATTGGTCTGAGGTTCACAAACAGGGATGCACAATTAGACAAACAGTTTCTAGTGGAAGCATGAGCAACATTTTTTACTCAGTTTTTGAAAGAGTTTGAACAGAATGAATATTCTGTTAATGATACTTTTGAATTTACAATAGCTTATAGCAAATACAGTTAAATGATGATGTTCATTATGCTAGATATGATATTGAGCCATCATTTACAAATGTACTTCTAGACAAAACCACTGGTTATTGTTCTAGTCCTGTATTTGCTAAGAACAAAACTTTACAAGGTATACAACTCAAGATGTTTTTAATACTTTTATGTTTTGCAACAAAACAACTACATTTTATGTTTAATAGTAAAAATCTAAGAACAGATTGATGGTGTGACTATGACCTCCTTGCTTCGGACCTTGTTAACTTATTCGTAATCTTCCATGAAAAATTTTGGTTAAGGTCCTGTCCTGAACATTTTAAGCTTGTGTATTACAGGAAATATTTTGATGACACTTTTGTTGTGTTTAATAATGATGAATTGGTTAATGAATTTCTCCGGTTTTTAAATGGTAAACATCCCAATATAGTTTACTGTCATAAATCAACCTCTCGTTCCTAGAAGTTCATATCTTAAATAACTAGGGTATACTTACCACTTAAGTGTATCTACTTTCAGTGGACTTCATTCACACTTTGTAAGCTCCATTCCTTCAAACATCTGGTTAAAACCCTGCTGTACAGAGCATTTACAATATCAAGAAATCAAAACTTTTTTAAAGCAAAAGTTAAGAACATTTGAGAAATGTTTAGAAGAAATTGTTTTTTGTTGTCATTTCTAAATAAAATAATTCACAACAAAAATTAAATCCCCCATCCATTGCTACATTAGGTGTTTCGAAGAAAACTTATTTTAGTTACACCCTACTTTGGCACTATTTAATACAAGATGAAGAAGAAAATTATCAAATAACTACATCCCAAGTTCAGTTAAAAGGTGTTTTTAAAATAAGTCTCAGTTAATAGTTTTAGAAGCAAAAGTGATGCTGTTTGATTAACATTTAATTCAGAACGCATCTTGTGTATCCACAAATTTTCTACAATGCAGAGCATTTCTTTACTATTCGCACACTCCACAAGATGTTGAAGTGTTTTGAAGTGACATTTGTGTCACAGTCCTGTAAACAGTGGCAAAGGATGGACGACTGATTATATGCTGTTTTGTGCATCCTCTTTAATATGTGAGCTCAGACAACATATTGTAGAGCACACACACAGCCAAGGTTACACCTTGGACATGTAAATTTATATATGATGTAAGAGCAATGTGTTATAGGAATCCTGTCTTTAAACTTAAAATAAGTATTTAAATGAAACATTGGTTTAAAGACAATTCTAAACTTAATAAGTGGGTAAATTTTATTATTCAGAATAGATTTAATTTTTTTCCTTAATTCTACAGAATGATTACCAGTATATGGTAGAATGCAATAAACTATTTCTTTGTTTTCAAACTGTTTACTAATTTTTGGAGTATTCAAAGCTTTTAAATAATTCCAGATAACACTATCAATTAACTGTACAGGAAAACTATTTAGTAAAACAACCTTTATGTTTCCAATTTCTTCATGGAATGAGGAAAAAGAACCAACCATGTTATAAGCCCGATGAATTAAATTGTGAATTAGGTTCTTTTTAAATTCATAAGGTAAAAAACTATCAAAATGAAAGTATTGTCCTGTAAAAGTTGGCTTATTATAGCACTTAGTGTTAAAACTTCCACTGAAATTAACAATCTTGGTATCTAAGAAAGGTAAATTATCAGCTGTTTGTTCCTCAACTGTAAATTTAATATGATTATGTTGATTGTTCAGATAATTTTGAAATTCTTGAATATCAGGTTTATTCTTAAAAGCTACAAAAGTATCATCAACATATCTTCTATAGTATATAGGTTTGCACTTTTTAACCACTTTTATTCATAATAACTTAACAAATTAGCCAAATGTTGTGCAACACTTGAACCCATAAACACTATTAATATTAGATGACCATTAAAAATGAAGTGACTGACCTTGAGGGCCAATTTAAGAAGCTTTTCGAATTTTTGTTTGTTAAAGTTAAATTGAAGTGCACTTTTGGTATAGAATAACTGCTTAATAATTATTTTAATTGTTTCCTCACGTGGGATGTTAGTGAATAAGGACTGAACATCAAAGCTGGCCATTAAAAAATTGGTCTGCATTAGGAAATTTAGATATCTCTTGAGCAAAAGATAGATGAATCACCTATAGGTTCAACCCTTGCAAATATTTTTCTATGTTATTACAAACATTATTAGTTGGATAATATCCCCGTTTATTACAAACCAGCATTATACAGAAGGTATGTTGATGATACATTTCTACTCTTTCACAACACTGATCACACAAAGAAGTTTTTGGAATACCTAAACTCATAACATACATCTATAAACTTTACACGTGAGATGTAAAAAAAACAAAAAACTTAGCTTTGTTAGATGTCCAAGTAAACAAAACAAACAATCTCTTTGCCGCATCTTTTTACCGTAAGAAAACATTTACTGGCCTACACACTCGTTTCGACAGTTTCATACCAGATTTCTTCAAACATAACCTTGTTCTAAATCTTCTAAACAGAGTGTATAATATCTGTTCTGACTACTTCTGTCTTCACTCAGAAATTTCAAAAATTCATAATGTATTACAAGATAATGGTTATCCCCTAAATTTCTCCATTCCATCACACAAATGTTTTTACAAATAAAAATAAAACCTACCAAAAAATCCCACTCTTTCAAAATATCCACTAGTTCTTACCACTTATTTCATTGGAAAAGAAAGTTTTAAACTCAAATATCAAAATCAAAAATAATCAAATATATTACCCACGAATTAAGCTACGTTTAGTATTTACGTCATCATTCAGACTTAAAAATATGTTTAAAAGCAAAGACACTCTATCCATTCTATGTGCTCATGGGTCGTACATAAGTACACTTGTGGTAGCTGTAAAGCTACCTATATCGGCAAAACTACACGTCACCTACAAATACATGTACACAAGTACGTGGGAATTTCAGCTAGAAGTGGATATCAGCTAACTGATCCACCCGAGTCTTGCAACCCGATTGTACAGTGAAAATAACAACCACCCCATACTCCAAGAAAACCTTACAATTCTCGACTCTGGAACCACAGATTATGAACTCTTTATTAAAGAAAACCTCTCCATTTTCAATGATTATTCAATGCTAAATAATAACATCAACTCCTCCCTGTTGTTATTAATGTAATCAATCCCACATTCTCAGTGTTTTTATTTGATGTTTATTGTTATTTCAAAGATACAGTGTTTATATTTAAGTCTTTTTCTATAATACTTTCTCTTAAAACGTTATTTATTAAATATGTGTATGCCGCAACTTTTTACTGTACATTCCATTATATTGCTACAATTTCAATCTGTTTTTTCTAAACTTCCGATTGAACATGAAAAACTCGCTCAATGCTAATGTTGTTTTATGTAGTTTGAACTAACTTTTTTTTTGAGATATTAATGCTGATAATGGAATTGAAGGAAATTCCAAAATGTCCATATTAAAGAGGTTTTTTTGTTATTCTCATGTTTTTACTATTTATTATAAAACTCAGTTTTCCACCGGATGAATCAGTTGCAAATGTGATAACGTGACTACCTCCAGTTTCTTTTGTATCCTTCTCCATTCCCAGGAAAAATTCCACCTCAGAATGCTAGAACTCTTTTTTGTTAAACTAAGAAAACCATCTCTGGATCAAGAAGAAGAAAATCTGAGTAAGTACTGTTCAACAGAATGAAGGATTACAAACTAAATACATGATTTGAAAATTAGCAATGGAAACTTGAATTTATTAGTGAAAATGTTGAGATTTTATAGAAGTTTCCTAATAGTTTGATCACTGAAATATGCTTAACTTATATGCAGCCCTTGATGGATTAGTCATCTATCTATCTATATACGTGTGTGTATTTTGAAAGGAGAATATGATGAAACTAAGAAAAAAAAATTAAAAAATAACTAAAAGGTGTCCTACCTGCCCCAAGCAATGTGACACTAGAGTAAATAATATAGTCTCCTTTATAAACACCAGAGTGGATGAAGATAAGAGAACTATCAGGTTCCTCCAAAGCTTGCTCAATTGTGTCAAAATACTGTTGACAGAAACAAACATAGCTGATGTACTGTCAAGATGTATAAACACCATTAAATTTCATCAGTACAATAAAACAAGTTCCATTGTTTTTGAATATGACACAATAGGCAGTGATGAAACAAAATTACACATTTATTTGTTTAGGTAAAAAATAAGAAACTCTATAACCTAGGCACTTGGAAAAGGTTGAACTTTTGTCATTAGGATCAAATTTTCATATTTACACTCACATAAAACTACTAAAAATTACTCTTTACAATAAAATGTACAAAACAATTCCTACAATTCCAATAAAAAGTAATTTTTTTTATTTGAAAAAATTCCATATTATAAAATATTTGTCTATAAAATCTCAGCTAACTTTACATACAATCCAGATTTTGGAGAGTTAGGATACTGCAAAAGGACATACAAGTATTTTATCCAAGCAAGGTAGCCAATAACCTATTAAATGAGAGCTCTCTCACACTATTTACAGATATAGATTGGATGTAAAGTCAGCTATAGTTTTTAATATAACTTTTGCTTTCTATAATATCCTAAAACACATTGTTTTTTTTTATACGTTTAGTTGTGAAGAGTGATTTATTTTCAGTAATTTTATCTGAATGTAAAGATAATTACTTCAACCAATGAAGATCTGCACTAGCAACTTGAAACTTCATCCAGAAAACTTCCTTGAAAGATGAGTACATTAATAACACCTTTTAAGTATTATTTACACATAACTGTGAATGACATTTTAATGATGCACATGCAGAAGACAGGCCATTCTACTCACAAGTATCCTAAATTATTAGCTATGATAACCAATACAATGTGCCTTGAAACCAAAAATTAAAACTTACAATAATATTTCTGCCACTGTAACACTCTGGATTGTTGTCTGTAAGTTCCTGGTAACCTGGACGAACATGTACGCCTTGATACTAAAACATGAATGAAACAGGTTTCAATGAATTTTTTTACTCCAAGATAATAGATTTTAATGTAATTTTAATATTGGTAATGCAACAAGATAAGTGTAAACTTGGGTGTATACATAGAGAAATTATTTATCCTTCATGTAATTTCACTGTGATTTTCCATTACTGAGATTTTAACATTACATGTAGGCTTTCTTCTGTGTCCAAACAGAAAACACCAAGCATATAATATACAGTTTACTACTACAAAACCCCTAATCTTGTTTTTCTCAGGATTAATGAGGAAGGGTGTAATGCCCCAAAATCATTATAACTCAGTAACAAATTGTGAATTGAATGATATATTGTTTCACATATATTTTTAATATTATAAACAGCTTGTCTGATGAATAATACAAAAAAAAAGAATATTTAACTATTCAATTCTGAATATTTCTTACATAAATACAGGATTACTGTAGTAAGTAAAGTACAACAAAAACACCATTCATATAATAAGCAGTTCACTACTATAATAAGCCTAGTCTTGTTTTTTAAATTCACTTTTGTCCAGAGTTACTGATAAAGGGTAGAACTCCCCAAAACTATTACAACTTAGTGACAACATTGAAAAGAATAGGTTGGGCTTCATATTTATTTTTACAATAAAAAGCTGCAATACAAACTTATACGTATTACATGAAAGTAAAATAGATCAATCATGCAGTGTCTTGAATACATAAAACATGGCAAAAAATTATTTAAAAAATAAATGAAAAAAGTTAAAATTTTCTTAAATCTAAAATGTATTTCTAATAATACTTACCTCATCTCACACTTACAGGTATTACGCGACTGCCAAGGTTTCTTCCTTTGCCCAGCTAAGCATTGGCTTGATTTTTTATTGCGTGTTCCTGTCTTTTATACCCCATTTAATTGCCCTTGGCAATATTTGTCTTGTGACACTCTGTCCACCACTTCAGTGACTGGAAACTGGGTGTGGTAAGGACTCCTTAGTTCCACTAGTAGAATCTGGGGAGTAATGGGGGTTGGGCAGCCCTGAGGAACAATGCTCTGGAAACAGTGCAATAGGTGAACCAAGTTCCCTAAATTTTTAAAAGCAAACCAAGCTCAATTTATTCAATCCAATGATTGACAGTGACGGGCAGGATCCACTTATGCTTTACTCATGACAGTCCATGAGTGGCAGTCCAGTATAGTAAAGTAATACCACCCATTCAGCCTCTAGGTGATCTTATGGAACACCTTATTTCTAAAGAGCCTGTTGCAACCTAGATAAAGTATATTGAATTAGTGGTTGCTAGTGCGAAACTGGTTTGATAAAAGCACACCTGCTTAGGCAACAATCGCCACAGAGCGTGATCCTATGAAAACGAGATAAGGGACCCTGAAAGGTAGCAATGAAAATGCTCACCCCTCTGTATAATGTAGCGGAAGTGATTAAGATAGCTACAGGGGATAGGTTAAAACCCTCAGATGAAGATATTACTAGATCATGCAAATAATGCGAGATAAAAGTACTAGGGGAGGTCCACATACCAATCCACACAATATCCTCCAGCAGGCAATTCAACTAGGCCACAATGGACATAGAAATGTAACAAATCTGATTAGACGCGACTCCAGAAGATTCCTCCCTTCCAAAGAGGGCCCAGAATAAAAAGTCATTGTCTAGCATCTCTAAAGACATTAGTGTGAGCAAGAAAATATCCAAGACACTCACTGAACATGACAATGATTGAAATCTGATAAGTCATAGAAGTGAGAAATAGTGATCAGATGAATTGGTGAAAAGAATCTATCCCCTTCCTTGTCTGACAGTGTCTTTGGTAAGAAGAACCAGTCTGAGAATGTAGGTAGAAAGATAAAGTGGTCTGTGGACAAACATTACAAACCACTCTGACAAGTGATGTCTAAAAATAAACCTTCGGGTAAAGGTGATACATGGCATATGAGAATCAGGTCACAAACAGATGTTGAGAAAGGGCATGTAATGTAACACTAATATACCAGTTAGGTAACTGGAATGGTCGTTTGGGACAAAGGACCCAAAATTACTTGAGGAATCTGGAGGGTACTGGGAACTCAAAGAATACTTTGTCGTGAGTATCGAATGGTAGTTGATATGGCCACCTTATACACGGAAAGGTAAAAAATCCAGTTATGGTTGGCACTTCTGATCGAAATGGGTTCAACCTCCTCTCAATACACCCTTTGATAAATGTCCATCGTGGGACTAAGCAATGACCAAGAAAGATACATTAGCAAGATTAAAAATTAAACCCTTGAATTAAAGCAAGAATAGATGTTTCAGCTCTGAGAATGAAGCCTGCCTTGGTTGTTTCTGAAAGTAGAATCAGGGTGTGATGTTCTAACAGTTGAGAAGATGGTGACAGCAGTAACAAGCTATCTATTGAATGGTGTGCACAGTGCTATGGAATGGAGGTGATGAAAAAAACTTGTACGATTCAGCAGAAACCACTTGAAGCCAATGTTAATCTGAAGGTAAAAAACCCTGAACTGCAGTACCTTGTTCACAAAAAATGTGATAGTGGTGGGATGCCACCACTATGACAATGTGCAGATAGAAGCTGAGTACAATGAAGTTGGGCATCCCCAATCTCAGTAAAAAATGTCAACTCAGATTGAGGAATGAGTAACTTGTGAACCTTGAAGAATCTAGGCATTGATAAAAATGAAAAACATCATGACTGTACATAAATCTCCCGTCTTCTCAAGCCCAACAACCGACAGAAATAAAACCCCGGAAGAACTAGCACAAACATATCACTACCCCCAGGACAATCAAACTCTGATAGCCCTAGAATTAAGTTCCAAATCCCGAGGATCTGCGGGAGACAGAAACCTTACAGGTTAGGTGTATAACAGTGATGTAGATGTGAACTGAATGACTAATCCTGACTCAAGGACTTGGGTTCATGGTTAAGGTTACCACATGTCCAGAAATTTTCAGAGCTAAGCCCCCACAAACCCCAAAGACATACAATAATCACAGACACCACTGGATGCAATCTGACCAAGCAGTGGAACTCTTGGATACAGACAGACCCTATTCTGGGCACATATGTACCGAGGTGCTGATGTCAAGGTTCTAGACACCCTCCAATAGGTGCAGAACTATGACCCCTATAAGAGCCAATGGAATTTGAGATGCCAAGTACAACATGAATGAATGTAGAAACTGACACTCGAACCAATGTGCATGATAACAATGGTTCCAGCTCATCATCAATGAAGTTAGTGATCCCAAGTCTTTTTAGAGTTGTATGTCCGAAGATTTACCCTGTTCTACCAGGGAACATTGATCTATTCTGGTTAACTACAAATTTCACCTTAGAACCCCTAAATTTGGGAAGCAGATGTATTATTTGAGAATCGGAACATGTTTCACCCAGTGGCAGTAGGCTAAATCTCATAGTTCTGACAACCGTGTCGGATAAAGCATAACTGAGAAGTAAACCTTCCTGCATGAACCAAAATGTCCGTGGATGGAGAGAAAACTAAATATTCGCTCCCAGACCTTTCAAAAGCAACTGGGGAAAGACCCAAAACATCACACTCTCAATGAACCAACTGAAAAAACAAGTCAAGGGCAGCTTATGCCAAAGTGGCCTCCTTTTTTTTTTGTTGTTTTTTTATTTATTTAAAGACTGTGGTGATTACCATTGATTGGAACAACATTTGGTCAGGTAAATTTGTTTGATTAAAGCAAAGCAACATTGGACTATCTTCTGTATCCACCATAGGGAATCAAACCCCAGACTTCAGCATTGCAAGTCTGTAAACTCACCACTGGCTCACAGGGGTACTGAAAACCCAACAGACTAAAAGAAGGTGCAAGAAAAGGGAATCTAAATTCTCTCTGGAATGTTGAGGATCACCCTCAATTACAACCTCAGAGCCCCCCGAAGGAACAGCATGGAACTGAATATACGTCTCCATCTCACTACCAATAACTTCAGTGATAGTCTCAACTGTGAGTGACTCTTACCCCCTATTATTAATATTAATAATTTTTTTTTTTAATATGAAAATCAACTACGTAACACTGAAAGTATCTCCAAACAATCATAGCACTGGGAAACCCGTTAGTGACGCTTCGTTGAGAAAAAGTTATGACATTATCTGAAAGAGGCAGTTATAAACAGTACCAGGATAGAGGGCACATTGATATAGGTGGAGAGTGTCATGAGACAAATATCACCAAGGGCAATTAAGTGGGGTATAAAAGACTGGAGCAAGCAATAAAAACTCAGACCAATGCTTATATGGGCAAAGGAAGAAATCCTGGCAGTCGAGTAATAACCGTGTGAGAGGATGTAAGTATGTTTTGGAATTTAAATTATCTAATCTCAGTATTTCATATCATCATAACATGCATCCAGTGAACAAAGTATTTAAAAAATTTTTAGGAATGAAAAATTCACATTATCTTTTATACTTATGTAATATTGCAAAGAAATCATTTTTTTATGCAGATTTATGTTATGCTATAATAGAAATGGAATGGGGATGTCTTTTGAGTGGCCAACTTGAAATTTTCAAATCTTTCAGAGTGGAATGTACTGTTCAAGATAAAAGTTACATGAAAAAAAAGTGTTAATAAACTGGAGAAAGATAAAAAAAACTATAAGCATAGATCTGAAATGTTTCACATTATTGTTTACTAATGGTAAAGCAGAATGCTATTCTTGAAATTAGTACAGCATATGGCAAAAATGTTGGAAAAGCTATAATAAAACAAAACAAAAATAGTAAATTTTTTTTAACCTTTAATTTAATATGTAACATATAATTGTCTCTCTTGACATTTATCTTTAATGCTCATGTCACTCTGTTTACATAGTTTTACCATGTACATTGAGGAAGTGCCAAGAAAAAACTAGATATGTAACATTAAAAATCCAGTTTCCACTTCCAAGTTCTTGTGGGTATTTTAAAATTTTGCAAGGGCTGCTGAAAGTACTGAAAATCCCCTATTT